CCTCCTGCCTCAGCCTCCTAAAGAGCTGGGATCACAGGCGTGTGCTGCAGTATACAGCTTCTCCTTTCCTTCTGGCCACCCTCAATGCAGGTTCTTCTGACCAAGTGCCAGGGCCCTGGTCTCTATCACCTCCCCTACATGGAGACACTCAGGAGTCCGAGGTGTCCTCCCCACTCAGTAAGCATCACAACACAGGGCACCTGGGCCAGCAGCAGCCACACTTGAAATACTCTGCTCATGGTCCATCGTGTGCTTTCATGATCACACTGCGCTCAAGAACTGGTCTCTAGCGCGACTACAGATTTTGGATGGGGTAGGGGAGGGAGGCAGCCTCTAGGCCTCTCTTGATACTATGGAATGGGATGAAGTGTAGCACTGCGTATCTTATCAGATTTAGTCTAAATATGGATGTGCCAAGTGTGCAGCAGAAAAATTCTGCAAGTATAATTCTATAGCCTTTTGGTTTGGTAGAAACAACCAATGTGGGGCATTTCACTGGAGATAGGAGTAAAACTCCGAAAAAACTGGAGTTTCCAGGTGAGTTAGGAGTCTCAAACCAGAGCCATGGTGGCAAGCTGGAGGCCAGCAGCTGGGACCCGGGTGGCAGGGGGCTCCAAGCACCTGACTGGGTTCCAGGTGGGGAAAGAGGGGAAGCAAGAGGAAAAGCTGCCCAGGAGGAGACAATGCGATGAAGCAATTACAGATGGCGGCTCATACCAGCTGCTGATGCCCAGCCCAGCCACACTGGCCAGCCTGATACACTTACGACACAGAGCTGCTACTGATGTACTCTAACACAACCCATAGTTTGGCACATCTAAGGTATATTCTCATAAAAACTCAGAAAATCAGGTGGGCACAGAGGCACATGCCTATAACCCCAGCCCCCAGGGAGGCTGGGGTAGGAGATGGCACATTTGAGCCTAGCCTGGAGCACTTACCAGCTTAGCCAGACCCTGCCTCAAAACAGGAAGTGTAAAAAGGGCTTGGGATGCAGCTCAGTGTGAAGGCTGTGGGTTCAGTCTCTGGTACAGGAAGCGGGGGGACGGGACTAGGACCAAAGAACAGGACGAATGAATCGCTTGGTAATATATTTGCCTTGCCCCGCTTTCCACCACTTTCCCAGCCTCTATCAATCGGAGGCAAATTCTTCCTGACCTTTCACACACCCTAAATTCTGGCCAAAAAGCTAGCCAAATTATTTGGATATGTATTCTCACCTTCTTACACAAATGCTATAATTTATAAACTTTTCCATAAATTAGAAATATCAGTTGCAAAAGACCTGCTTACAGTTCTCAATTTCTATTTGGTATCTGTGATCTGAACACTGTGGACACCTCTGATCTGGATGGCCCCTCTAGCCAACTAGTAGAATATGCACCACGCTTGCTGTTAAAACCAGCTTCTGCTCTAACTCAAGACTGTGGCAACTATGATTCAGTGTTGCTCTTATCTGTACCCTGAATCACTCTTGATTTTACATTCTAACTCCAAAGCAACGGGGCGATTATGAAAGTCGCCTGAGCTGAGCTGCAGGAACTCTCACATGCTGCTGGTGTACACAAACACAACCATGGTGACGCCCACAGACATGAACACCGACATATCCTACACCAATCCTAGGCATGCATCCACTTCTCTTAGGGACACACAACAGAAATGTACACGCATATGAACACGTGGTGTATGTGTGCAAGTCCATGCTGCACTAAATACTCACAGGAACAAAAGCCTGGAATCAATTGCGTGGTCAACAGTGGCAAAATGGACCCCAGTAGTGGTACAGCCACACACAACAACAGGGAAACACGTCATAGACCAACACAGGGCAGGTCCCATCTGCCACACTCAGAGTATACCCAAGAGCCATGGTGCCCAAGTCCAGAGAGCTGCACCTCTGGGGCACAGGATGGGGCCTCCGAGTGCTGGTGACACCACCAAGTCTCTGCTGAAACTCACCAAGGAAGCACTTAGGATGTATACATTTTCCATCTCAATAACAATTATAATATCTTGTCACTGATTTTAAAAAGCAACACACAAGTCTTATCTTGCATCGAATGGTCTTTCCCTTACAAACTTGCTGTAGAAAAGCTTATTTTGGTGGGAATATGAAGAGAAAAGTGACCTATTTTTCTCTGAAAGACTATTTTTGTCAGTGTGTTTGCTGGCACCGCCTCCCTGGGAGAAGAGCTGTGTCTAAGCTGGCTGCAAATCATCCCAGCCTCTGCTGTCACAAGAGGCAGCACAGTGGCACTGGCCTCACGTGGGATCAGATGGTGCTCAGTGGGAACCTGGCGGCAGGCAGCAGGGGACACAAGCTAGAAACACTGAGTGCAAAGAAATGTAAGATGTGAGGAACCAGGTGCGCCAACAGCTACTGTCATCAGGATGTCATCAGAAGAGACAAGCAGTGGCCCATGCCTGTCTCCTCCTATCTACATGAGGAACTGCAACGCCTTGGAAGCACTCTTGCCACCCCGCCATCAATACGACTAAGTGGCTACAGTGAACTTCCCCTTAAATATCTGTCCCCAACTATCTAGAAAATTGTTTTACTTTTTGGCTATTTTTCATTTATCTTATGAGGTAAGGTGTCTCATTATGTTGCCCACGCTGGATGCAAACTTCTAGGCTCAAGAGCTGGGAGTACTGTAGGCACGAGACAAGGCCTTGACCTATGAAATGAATTTTGAGTAATTTGTTTTTGAAAAATTGATCTGTGATCTGTATTCTGTTTAGCATCTGTATCTTTTGACAGCTGAACTCTGAAGAAAATCAGTATACCAATCGGATGAACAGAGAGCCCGAGACTGAGGAACTATCGTACCAGGCACACGATAATGTCTCAGACTATGTCCACATACATCACTTGGCTCAAGTGCCAAGATCCCCTTCAATAAGCACAACTTTGGCTCTGAGCCAATAAATTCCATAGTGGCAATTTAATAGGTGTGTAATAGGACACACCTGTAATCCGAACATTAGGGAGGCTGAGGCAGAAGGACTGTGATTTCTCTGAGGGTATTCACTGGTTTTGGATTTGTGAGATCATGCAATCCCCTCCCTTCAGCCTCCTGAGCAGCTGGAACTGCAGGCATGCACCATGGTACTCTGCCATCAGGAGGGAATTTGTTATTATGATTTTTTTTTGATGAGGGGATTTACAAATCTGTCCTTTGGGGAAGTCAGACAAACTGTTCCTGTCACGTTGGGATCCTTCTCAGACTCCTAAGAGCTACCCTATCTTAGCTTTGCTCTGCAGGCCTTGATCAGAGTACATGGGGGCCCTCCAATAAGCACAAACTGGCTCTGGGGAAGCACTTAACTTTATGGCAGAACACCAAACTGTACAATGCTTAAGGGATGACTGCTGCCAGATCCCACACCTAGATATGCTAGGTTTTTTTTTTTGGTGGTGGTGGGGGGTCTAGGGACTGAACCTAGGAACTCTACAGAGCTTTACTCTTATATCTTTTTTGAAAACAAATTTTGACAAATGGTCTCAAGTCCTTAAATTGCCCAGGTTGGATTTGAACTTGTGATTCTTCTGCCACTGTCTCTCAAAGGAGTTGGATTAGAGGTGTACACCACTATACCCAGATAGTGCTACCTTCTAAGAAGGAAGCAATGTGGTATGAAATGCAGCTGAATTAACGCTGAATTTTAACTAGGCATTGGGAATACCCCTGCCATCTCAGTACTCAGGAGGCTAAGGGAAGAGGACTGAGTTTGAGGCCAGCCTACACATCAAGATTCTGTCTCGAAAAGAAATGAACAGGCCAAGCATAATGGTGCATGCCCGGGGTTAAATCCTCAGGTCTGTCTTGTCCTGTCTGTCGGACTGTCAGCCTCTTTAGACAAAAGTCTGTATAGCCCAGGCTGGCCTTGAACTTGTGGTAATCCTGCTGTGTCAGCCTCTGCAGCACCACACACAGTCTGTTTTTTACGTTTAAATGAAAAGAATCACTTCTACAAGCACAAGAAATCACACACATAGACATCTCGCTATTCACAACACTCCATGGAGAGTTCTCACAGGCAGGCACCCCAGGCTGGATCTGCTGAGGATCATGTCATGGATGCGTCACACTGATCTCAGAGCTACTGTCCAATCTTCCGGCCATAAAAACAGGTGGCTGTCGCTGTGAGAGTGCCTGCTTTCCAAGCATGATCATGAACCTGAGAAATCCTCTATGTGTAGGAAGAAGGGGAGAGGAAGGACATTGATGACACCAAGTGTCCTGAATGTGTGGCCATGCAGGGCCACAGTCTAGACAATCCCAGTTTCAACACGAAAGCAGCATTAAAAAAGGAAGATGAGTTATTGTACAATAAGAGACTAAAGAAACATAAATATAATATGTGGATCTTTTTTTTTTTTGGATCTTATCTGAATACTGATTCAAACAAACTATTCAAAATGTCCAATGACATTAGTAATTACAGTTAGTAACCACGATGATAGGTTTACCAAGGAACAAGATTTTACAGGCTAAAGATACGTTCTGAGATTTCCCTCCCCAAAGTGAGAAGAGATAGATGAAACCATACGGCAACCATGTGAGGGCTGGGCATGCAGTTCAGTGGCACAGTGCTTGCCTACAGTGGCCAAGGCCCTGGGTTCCATCATTAGCACCACAGAAAAAGGAAGGGGCGGCGGCGGGGAGTGGGGAACGACTCATTCTGAAGCTCTGCAATAATACCAGGATTGTTAAATTCTGCCCTCTGCTTTTGTCTGTCATTGACGCTGTCTGTAACAAAAGGTTAAAAGCGGTGGAAAGATAACTGCTGAAGCTGGATTCTGGGTGTTCCCGAGTACTTTCTCATCCAGAGGCTGGCTGACCAGAGAAAATTTCCATCCGAGCAACACAGCAGGCTTCATGAGCTGCTAGAACCCAATTTGTCTCACCTGGTCTCCTAGACAAGCATGCCGTGCAGTTTCATCACAGCCACCACCCTGATAAGCTGCGCTATGACGGCCATGACCCTCTCACCTGGCTGGGGCGGGTGAGGTGGTGGCATCTGGTGGTGCATCAGTGGGTAGGGAGGGGGCTGCTGATGGGGCATCATGCCCGGGTGACCAGCGGCTCCGAGTGGGGCCAGGCCAGGGCCCCCTGCATGCTGATGCACCTGTGCAGGGTTCTGGCCATGCTGCTGCTGTTCCATTTGCTGGCGGGCACGTAACTCAGCGTATTTCAGCTGCTCCATGTGGAAGTTCTGTCGTTCAGTAAGCAACTGCTGCCTCTGCTGTTCCAGCTGCAGGAAGAGAAGAAAAGTGACACTGGGGGACACCTCAGGACTGCGGGCACAGGGCGGATGTCGGGCCTAATTCCCTCCACTTCACCAGACACAGCAGCCTCACCTCCTGCAACAGCTACATGGGGCACAATGGCATGTGTTCTTTCTGCCTCTCTCCAACACAGTCCCACTGCAGAGCTCAGGCTGCCTTGGCCTCCAGAATGCTGGATTACAGTGTGTGCCACCACACCTGGGCAGGCAGTTATTTCTTGAGCAGTATATTCTACGTGGATACCTGTTACTACTGCCCTGGTCTTGTCTATGTTATAGTCAAGGCTTATCTTTCTTTCAGCTAGTGAGGCTGCTGCTCTCTGGGCCCACTCAGGACATACATAATCCTCTCTCAGGTGGGTCTTCAGAATTAAAAAAATAATTTTTTAATTCCTTCACTTATTTTTGAGACAGAGTTCTAGTACATAGGCCAGCCTAGTCTCAAACTCCTGAGTTCAACCATCTTGTTTCAGCCTTCCTAGCAGCTGGGACTAACTGTGAGTAGTACTAGGAAGGCCTTTAGACACTGTGTATAAAAACACTTTCCATCTTCAGGATATCTGTAACTTGCCCTGGGACAACACCAATGCCTCCTGCCCTTCCACTGGTTTGTCAGATGCTAAGAGGTCTACCGGACAACCCCAGGTGCTCTCTTCTGGACGGGATACTTTTGCTGACTGTCTATTTTAGAATACAACAGCAGAGAAAAATCCTGAGTTGGTGTGGCCTTAGCTGTAAAGGTATTTCTCTACATAGGACTTTGTCAGTGCCACTGTACATCTTAGCTCTAAGTACCCAAATTATACTGGGTGACAATTTCACAGAGTATTTTAGTTGTCTAAATAAAACTGTACATGCATCTTTGTATTTCAATATTCAAAATAAATCTAGGACTTTAAGCGCAAGGTCAGAGGCCTGTTTCTTTACGCGGCTCTTCCCATCATTTCCACAGTGAGACCTGCCCCGAGGGGCCCTGTCCTCCTGCTGTGCATACCACAGCCAGCTTGAGAGCACTTGAAATGGGGCGTGCTGTTAGCATACAGGACACATCAAAATTTGAAAGAAAAAAAAAAGTCTGTTTATTGAATTAACCTATTTTGCTTGTTTTTAAGTTTTTCAATATGGCTGCTAGAAAAATTTTAATTACATGTGTGGCTCACCAGTTTTATTTCTGTGGAAATAAAACTATCCCTATGTATTTAGGTTGGGGAAATGTTAACAGTTCTATGGATAAATACTGTACGCTATCAGTAGCAAGACTACATGGAATAAGCCTGTAAATTAGCCTAAGAATCTGGGATGCTGGCAGAGCAGCCTGAGAAGTGACCCGGGAGGCAAAGCAAAAAGCACTGCTGGTCAGCAGGGGCACCAGGCAGGGAGTCTTGGGACAGGCAGGCATGTCAAGGCCCTGAAGAAGGCCTGCACAGAGGTGGAGGTTATAACCCAGGCCCAGAGTTTTGGTTAGCTGGCTCACAAAGCCAGGCAGGGTCCCACCACACAGCCCCCAAACACTGGTGTGGGTGCTTCTTTTTCTAGGGAGGGTGAGAGGAGGCGGGTGTGTCTGGCCAGATTCAGGGAGATGGATGATGCAAATAACAAGAGCATTCTCTGGAAGCCCAGTCCTGGAGGAAGAATAGTCAGTGAGATGTTTGGGAGACAATGATCTTTAAAAGGTGTCTAAAGGTTCTGACTATAGATTCTTGGCTTTGCTTTCTTATAACCATGATTTCTAGGAAATTTAAAACTGTATGATAATTTGCTGAGGCCAGGCTTAAGGGGTTGCCAGAAACGGACCTCTTATATATGTTCTGGTTGAGTCACTACTAGCCTAGATGACTTGGCACAAGTGCTGTAGTTCCGTAAGAATCACAGAAGTGAGGTCAAGAACTGCCTTAGAAAGCAGCTGAATTGTTACTGGAGAGATTTTTCTCTTTTCTTTTTTTTTTTTTTTTTTTTTGAGACAGGGTCTCACTATGGAGTTCAGTTGGCTTTGAACTTGCTCTGTAGTCCAGGCTGGCCTCAAATTTGTGGCAATCTGCTCTCAGCTTCTGAAGTGCTGGCATGATAGGTATGTCCTACCACGCCTGGCCAGAGAGCATTTATTTGGGGACTAACCTCATCATCAAGGTATTAACCTTGCAAAGAATAAAATCTATTATTAAGGGGATGGTAGGATAGCTGGGTGTGGTGGTGCATGTCGGGGGCCTGAAGCAGGAAGACTTGAAAATCCAATACCAGCCTGGGCTACACACCAAGAAAAAGCCTGTCACTGGATGATGGGAAGGGGGGAAAATCTGCCTGATTTTGCAAGGTACAATAGGAACTAACTTCACTTATCCTATTTATTTCTGAACGTTACCTGTGGTTTTAAAAAGTAATTAGAAGAAAGTAATTACAAGAATTAAAAAGGACTTAACACACATACTTTCACCTGAAAGAAAACCCATTTAAGCTAAAGCTTCAATACAGGAGCCACAAGTCCCAAAGGAAGGGCAACCTGTGGCCCCAGCGCAGCAGCATAGAACAGTCCTGTTGTGCTGTTCACCTCGCCTGCATTGAGTCAGCCGAAGACCACATCAGCCATTGCAGTGACCAGAAAGAACACGCACCAAGAATCACTTAGCAAAACCTGGAGGCATCGTGTGTATTTTAAATGTACTCAGTTGCTGACCTGGTGATCTGAAATCTGGAAATCTGTCCTGGACAATGTATAAAAGTGTGCCTAAGGACACTCATGAAGGTATTACATTTGGTATATCATTGTCTCAGACTCACTGAGTGGCAAATAAAAACAAGTTGCAAAAGCAATACAACCAGGGGCTGGGGATTTAGCTCAGCGGCATAAACACCTGCCTTGCAAGCAGGCGGTCGTGAGTTTGATCCTTGGTACCGATAAAAATGAAAAAGACAAAAAAAAAAAAAAAAAAAAAACAAAAACCCTAAAAACTCCCCTAGTCATGTGTCACAGACATCTTGATTTCATTTCATCCTTTTCCATTTCGACAGTCTCAAACCTAACATGTACAGCATGCATTACTCACGTGAAAAGGTGTCAATTGACCCGTTAACCTTCTCCTTACTCCAGTCTGGCTCAGAACCAGTTTTGCAGCAAGCTTCCTAGAGCCCTGCTCTGAAGCCCCATTTGCCCCTGGAACGGGCACCCTGTCCACCAGCACTGTGTACGGACAGAGCAGCCGCATCCAAGTGGAACATCAAGACACAAAGTGCAGACACAGCTGCAAGTGCAGGTGGTGTTCACACAAACCTCTTCTCCCAACCTCCACTTGTGTAAAGCAGGGAGGAGTAGGAAAGATGGAGAGGGCTACAAAAATCTACCCACACTCCCAAGGACTGAAATCCCTGCCGAGACACACAGCCTCCAATGGCTTGTCTCAGAGTTGAAGTGGTGACCGCACCTTCATTTTCAGTGTGTGGTGCTGGAGATGGAGGTGTTCACTGAAGCAAAAAGACCCAAACAGAGAAATCCACTGCTCATTACACCTGAGAAAGGAAAACCAACTGCAAGGTGCCACTTCCGCCCCTGCTTCTGGAGGGAAACAGCGGCACTGGAGCATCTTGGGGACCTGGCCTTGCTACCTGGGCTGGCTGCATGAGCCACTGCAAATCCTCGAGCACCAGAGCTGACCTGCGTCTCAGTGGCTCTCATTCTCAAACACAATTATCTCAGGTTATGGCACGCATCCAAGGACAGGTTCAGTCACGTGACAGGCAGCACATATGTTATTACAAATGTGCAGAAAACAGTTAAATATAAATCCCTTGGAACAGCCAGAAGTTCACTTCTTTTTTCTTATTTTAGTACCAGGGATCGAACTTGATGACCTTGTACTTGCCAGGTAGGTGCTTATGCCACTGAGTTAAATCCCCGGCCCGGAAATGCACTTTTTGTTTCTCTTTAGTGTGTTGGACAGCTCAACACATCTTTTAACACATCCTGTTTGTGAGGATGTCTCTTTGTCCCATCTCTGAAATTGGTCCGCTTCCTTCAATTCCATGGCTGCTGTCACCCTGGTCTAAGTCCCACCTCACACAGGTTGCCCCAAGAGCTGCCTCTCTGCACTGCCTTGACCCTGCCACCTTGTAAGGTTCTTTGTACCACAAAGTAGACAGACTGATCTGCTAAATAGTTAGAAAGATCATTTTGCATTCCTTTTCCTTTTGGGGTGGGGGTATTGGGACCCAGGATATCATGTAGGCTCCAACACTGAGCTATGATCAGAGTAAAGCTAGGACTCAATGGCTCACAGGGACTTCAATGAGGTGGGCACCTCTCTCTCTCTCTTTCTATCCTAACTCCCCTGCCTCATTTATGCTTCAGCTTCACTGAATGATGCTGAACCTTTCAGATCTGTCTACAACAACAGCTGGCTGCACACGCAGGCCATAGGTTGGCCACCAGTGCCACAGTTCCCTCATGGACCAGCTGTGCTCCCACCCCAGGGCTCCGCAGTTGCTGTGTCTATGCTCACCTACCAACTGTCAGTTTCTGAATAAGGGCTACTCTGAGGGCACCTCTTAAACCTCATGTCCCTCCCAATGATCCTGAGCTCCTCCAAGCCCTGGGTGGCTGGCAACATGCTTATCTACAATATAAAATAAAGTACATGTACACATACATATCAAGCATGCAAACACTCATGACTTCCTTAACATGCTCATTACTTGAAGTTCCAACAAGGCCCAGAGCTTTGTTGGGCTTTTATGCACCACTTTAAGCCTTGAACCTACACATTAGAAACAAATATTCAATGAATGGACAGCAGACTTCACCCATTGTCTCTTTCGCAAAAGCCATCATGGGCAGGGTGAGTCTTTGGTCTGCTACGCAATCATGTTTCTCTCTGAACCTCAGGATTTCGTCTGTCCCTATAATGAGATCGAACACCTACCCCCAGGAAGCTCCTGATAATCTGAGCTGACCATGATGCCATCCTGTCTCCTCCTCTGACCTGCTGCTGCCTGTTACCTTAGAGTATGCAGTCTCTTAATGTGCTGATGTCTAATCCACCCTCTACTTTCCTTAAGCGTGTCTTCCTTTGCAGAAGATACTCAATTTCTACTCCCAGTCAAATGCACTGCAGACACTCAGAGGACATGTACTCCTGAGGTGAATCCTCACTGGCCTCAGAGCAGTTTTTGTTTTCTTTAAACCACTCAAATGCTCGGGCAACACTCTCGTGTTCTGGTTCCCTCCACATAGCTCCAGCTCCCAGCAGGAGCCAGGCCTGAAGCCTGCTCCTTACCGTGTGTCCCAAAAGCCTGGTACCAGCCCTCTGCCAGCCAGGTGCCCTCCCTTGACCTGAAGTTGATGTTTTCCATTATGTCAACCCCTGTAGGCTCTGAAGCTTCCACAGGGGCCCTCGTCAGTGCATTACACTATGAGAGAACCTGGACAGTGGCTCCTGAGCACTAATCACAGCTTAAGTCACCACACCTATGGGAGATTCAACATTTTGCCATTTTAGCCCCCACCACCCCGGTTCCCCAGTACTCAAGGGGCTAAACCCCAAACATTTTCAGATTGGGTTTCACTAAAATGCCCAGGCTGGGACTCCCAACTTGCAATTCTCCTGCTGTGTTATAATGCAGCGCTGGTATTACACGTGTGGGAAAGTATGCCTGGCTCCAGCTTAGATCCTCATGAGTCACTAGACTTAAAACTACCAATAACATTTGAGTTTAAGTTGTTAGAGAACAAAAGAAACTTCCTATCTGATTCTGGAAATTTAGTGGGAGAACCAAACATTTAAACATTTGCTTTAAAGCTCCACGTTCCCCACAGGGTGGAAGTTGAGCAGAGGGCACTTTAAAGTGAAGCAGGAGACTGTGGTGGGCACAGGGGAATTAGGTGGTGAGCTCAGTCTTGATGGCCGGCTAGCCTGCCCTTTCCAAAGTAATCGCCTGACAGATTCACAAGAGACGGATGGACAGAAACTTGCATGGCCCTGGGCTGAAATGAGAGCTGGTTTCATCCAGGGTCACCACTGGATTCTAACATGGAACACTTGAAGCAATCAGTGTTTCCTTGTTTATGGCTTCCTCACATCATTTTTGGTGACTAAATTTGGAAATCTATAATAATACTTAAGTGTAGTAAGTGACCTCATGTATGTGCATAAAGCCAAAAGCATCTGATAAATACGAAACCCTTCAACACGCCTCTGATGAATGGCCTGAAAACGGATTTAACGAACACTAGCCCTGTGCCAGACACTATGCCAGTGCATGATGCATTTCTTGACTGAGACAGGACCTGACCTCCCACTTCAGGTGACATGAGACATCCAGCTTTCCTGTTGGGGGCTTTTTCACACTCCTGTGACAATGGTGCCTTTTGTTCTCAGTCAGTAAGCGCTGTGGGAACCGTAAGTAACGAACACTGCTGAGGTACTGATGCTTACTAGGTAGGGCTAGGGGCTGTCCTGCACAAAGACCTTTCTGCCATCATGAATCCAATACTAAATGCAGTGAGAAAAGGCAGACAGACCATCAAAGAATTCACACAAGAGTGGCCTTGGACATTGGGAACTTGGCATTTTTCCATCTTCATTTTGGGATTTATTCAGAGACTATCTTATACACGATTTTGCATGTGCTGGTTAGAATTTAAACAATTTAAACAACAAAGATGATGATGAAAACAACAAGGCCACTGTGGGAGTGCTTATCTACAATCCCAGTCATTCAGAAAGGTGAAGCTGGCTGGAGGGTCATCTGAACCCAGGGTGCTTTAATTTTGGAGACAGTCTTACCCACTGAGGTCTAGACTGATCTCATACCACATAGCCTAGGCTAGTCTCAAACTAATGGTCCTCCTGCCTAGCTTCCCAAGCAGTGGGACTAAGGCTAGGTACTTGTGGCACAGTGCCCAGGGCACATCCAGCTGGTCTACGATGAGTTACTGGAGTGCAACAGGCCAGAGGCCTTGCCTAGGTTGGCCACTAGGAAACAACCAAGCAATGCAAAGACATCTGAAAATGATTTGTTCTTGGGGTTCTCACGAGAAAAACCCTTAAGAAGTTTCTTACTCTTCTAACTCAAAGCTTGTCCTACCCATAGAGAGGTCTATGAGTAGAGATTCTAGGTTGAGTCCAGGTTCCTCTTTCAGAGGCAGATACTCAATGATGTGAAGAATGGTTGATCCTGGTAGTTACGCAGACGGGTTTCAAACTTTGACCCTTGCTTCTGACCTACTGCAGCGAGGTATCTAATTTATCTAGGTCACTTGCTATACCCCCAGAATTCTATGATCCAAATGCTGAATACAGTGTTTTTTGTGTTCAACAGCTGGGATCTACGAGGACAAAAAGAGATGGACTGAGAAAAAAGGGTCAAAATTATGGCTGCTGCAACTGGCAATGCTTTCAGCGAACCTGTGAAAAGGAAAACCCAAAGCAAGTCAGGGAGAGAGTTCTTGCCATATGAAACTGGACACTGGGGACGCACATGCACCAGACCACTGCCTGAGCCCAGCTGTGTGTGTCAGGCAGCCAAAGTATCCAACACTTGTGGGATTGTCCCTGCTCCCAGAAAGGGGCTAGGCCAGCCCAAACCCCCACCTCCTGCTCTGATAAAGAGGAGGGAAGGGGTCCAAAGCACTCTGGCATGCCTATCCACAGACATCTCCATCTCACAGAGAGAACCCCGGGTGACCCAGGACGTCCTGGGATAAAGCTAACCCCACCTGAACCATCTGAGGAAAAAAAAGACCACCCAAAAGAAGAAGGCTACTCCTGTGAACCTCTGAAGCTCCTCTTCAAAAACAAGACTCCAGTACTCCTCCAGGTTTTTGTTGTTGCTGTTAAACTTTCTCCAACCTAGCCAGTGAACCACAACATCCCAGGGTAGTCGGAGAGAACACAATTGCCAGTAAGTAGGGCTCTGGCTCCTTCCAGCTGGAAACAGCTACATAGAGATACAGGCTTCTAAATCCTCAGCAGTCCAGAAAGAATCATGGGGATTTAGGTTTCTCAGGGAAAAAAATGAGGCAGATTAGAGCATGGCCAGCAGGATGTACAAGTGGTTGAGACCTGTTAATCATGGAGGTCCAGGCTACATGCCCAGAAAAAGAATTTCCAGACCCAGTGCATGGTACCCAAATCAGAAAGTGCTACCACTACTTTCGGTTCCTTTCTGGGAGGTGCTTTTTGACACAGGGTCTCAGTATGCAGTTCAGGCTGGCTTTGAACTCGCTTTGTAGCACATGCTGGCCTCGAACTCGCTGCAATCTTCCTGCCTCAGCCTCCCGAGTGCTGAGATTACAGGTGTGTGTCACCACGTCTGGCTGTAAGCTTTAGTTCCTTGATCTGGCCTGAAATCATGCAGGTTTTTGACAGGATGACCTATACCTGATGTCAGGTAAGAGTGATGGCAGTCATCAACCTTGGGGCTTCTGTACGCTCTTTCCCTGCAGAGTGCACTTCTTTTTCCACTCTGATTGGCCCATACTCTGTAGAACATACCGCTTTTCCCACCTTTAATAAATATAACGTCTTGCTACTTTAAACAGCTCCTTTTCTTTACAATCACTGGCTTATCAATAATCCTTTGGAAAAGACAAATCAGACAAAATAACTGAAGACGAAGAGCTAGAGATTCATGGACCAGGCCACCACTATATTATCTTACTCGCCTTCCTGAGCACTGGCCAGGTGTCAGGTGTTGAAGTACCGCAGTGCATCCCCTTACTTACAGCCTCTTTCTCTCTGTCCATGATCGTTTCAAGCTCCTCGAAATGCCGGAGTTTGATCTCTAGTTTCTTCATTTGCGTCTCAACCAGCAGAGCTACCAGAGACTTGATCTTTCTCTCTTCCACAGCAGCCAGGTGCTAAGGGCAAAAGGACATTCATGTTATTCAGGTAAGTAAAACTGTTTAAAAACATAAAACGCTGACGTTGCCATTCACAGCAGAACTTTTGCAAGTCAGAATGTACCTCAGATGCCCACTTTGTATGTTTCTATCAAACATTTCAATTTAAAAACATCACTGTCCTTAAATTTCTGGCAGTAACTCAACCTTTTCAGAAGACTAAGGGAATCCACCTGTACACTCCCTTCAAGAAGCCTGTTAGGGAGGGGAGGGTGACCTAGGACTGTGCTGGACCATGCAGGACCAGGAAGCAGCACCCTCCCCTCCTACCTCTCTATCATCCTTTCCTGCCTCCACCTTCCCAGGTGCAAGTGAGGCCTCTTACTGCTCTGAGCAGACTGTATGGAAAGGGGAGAAGAGAGCTTTACCCAGAGGCGGAGGAGAAGTTCAGACCCACAAAAGTAAACAGCAAAGATGTCCCTTTCTTGCATAAGCCTGATGGGGAGTCCTATTCACGCCTCGTGCCCATCAAGCAGGACAAAGAAGGTGGTAGGTACCATGCTGCTCATATCTGGCCAGGGCCGATTACTTACAGGGGCCAGTTCTACCTGCTATGGACATCACCTGGCCACTCCCAATACTATCCTGTGTCCCCTTAACCAGCAGCATGGAGTGGCTATCTCGCTTACCGAGTTTAAACACGAGCTTTGGGAGCTAAATTGGGATGTGACACCAAGAGGAGAACCTTACCTTGTTTTCAGCTTCACAGCTAAAAATGGGAAATGCAGTTTTATGTTCAAGTTATGGTGACCTGACTACAGAACATTCAGAAATATAAACAGGAGGTAATGCGGAGGAGGCTTTTATAGCATTTATGATCGTATGCCTCCTCAAACTACCATGAGCAATACCAAGGACATCAAAAGTTTAAATAGGACGTAATTCTAGGCCTGCCAGCAGTGTACAGTGATAAAATTTGTATTTTCAAATAATATACTTATTCATGACATAAATGCCACAAAAAGGGGCCAAGTACAGAGAAAGTCCTCTCCTCGTTTCTGCCAGTCAGCCACCAGAAACCCTTCATTTGACAGGGATAACACTGGTTTACAGGTCATTTTTATGAATGTTTGATTCTTTGAAACCTCATGGTTTTGGGAGAGAATACATTTTCTTGAGATTTACACAGGACTTTGGAGACATCCTCATGTATTACTAAATAAACAAAATATGTCCTCTCAAAACTGCAGTTCAACCCTACTATCCCAGCACACAGGGGGCTGGTATAGAAGAGTCACCATAGGTTTGTCTCAAAAAACCAACAACAAAAACTTGCAGGTCATGTTTTCAAATGGAAAGGGTCATCAATGGAAATTTAAAAACGTAAGACAGAAAAAAATTCTATAAACTTCCAAATAGGCAAATAAACAAACAAAATCAGGTTATAAAAAATTTGAACTGGGCTTCCTGTTTGAGCCTTATGCTGGGTTCTGGAGGGCAGGCTGGGGATGACTTGAGGGTGGGCATGGGTGATTAAGGGTGCAAGGGTGTGGGGACACAGGAGGAATCAGCCAGGAGCCAGCCCTGGGGAGAGCCGGAAGGAGGCTAACCCACCCTGGGGACGCAGCCCTGTTAGGAGAGCAGGCGAAGGGCTGTTGGTAGAGACCTGGAACAGAAGGAAGGAAACAGTGCAGGTAGACTTGAAAAGGGGCCAAAATTACTAAAAAGAAACCAAAGCCTAGACCTAAGGAGACTCATGGATCTCACACTTGCCAGGCAGGTGCTATGCCGCAACTATATTCCCAGCCGAGAGTATGTCAATTTTGACTGCATTTCAAGGGCTCAGTAGCCCCTGTGTTGGACAACACAAAGAAAATAAAGTAGATCTTCCCATGGTCCATATGAATTGCGGGCTACAGACTTTTTGTGGAGAAATAAATTATGCAGAAATATTATCACCAGTATACGAAGACTCGGAAAATGCTCTTTGGTATTGTCATGAATGTGTGAGATTATGTGAATAGAGATCATTTTTCAAAGTTACGGGGGAAAGAGCAAGAAGTGCAGACAGCGATCAAGAAAGTAAAACAAACATCATTCCTGTTACTGTCTTCTAGCCAGTCATCACCAGTCAATCCTTCACCTGTAAATATTAGGGAGAAAAACTGTAGAATACAAGAATCAGATAACCAAGAACATTGCTAAGCTCCTAGGAAACCAAGCCCTTAACATAAAGGCCTGAGTGGGATTTTGTGCCCAAAATCTCCATAGATAGCCACTGGGGAAAGATCCTGATCTTGTGACAAAATGGGTTCTTTCTGCAAAAGTGCTAAAAATTAGTGCATTATAGAACAAAGTATCTGAACTTCAGGTCAAGTTAGCTGATCTGCTGAAAGAAAATAAAGCTTTCAAAACGGTTTTATATATACAGAAGTCCTGCATAAGTTTGGGGATGCAGAAAGTGAAATCTCACAACTTGCAGCTCATCATACTGTACTGTCATAACAATGACAGTACAACCTTTAAAGAATGCTTAGGAAAATCTCAAAGAGAATAAGCAACTAAGAAAAGGGTGAAAAATATAGAAAATGAACTACTTAGGATAAAATTTTCTTTACAAAAACTGAAAAAGATCTCTGAAGCTAGAAATCTACCTGAATAAAAAAATTAGTTTCAGCAGAGTGAAAGTTAGATGACACTGAAAGAATTAATGAAGGTAAATCTTTGGTGGCTTCTAACTATGCTGTCTTGGGTGGTTCCTCATTGGGTCTTTCTTGAGCTCCTATAAACAGCTATTGCCATTTGGCATTTGCTTAGAAATGAAAAATACTGTTAGCACTATGTTTCTGAATAAGAACTTAGGGAAAATTTAAGATTGCAAATTTAAGAGCAAGATGCTAAAGATCACATGTATTAATGGGCCATATGCTGGTAGATGAATGCTTAATTCTACAGATCTTAGTTATTTGGAGGAAACAGTCTATTTGATTATTTCTCTAAAATTGAAAATACTGTAGTAGCCATAGAATATAAAACTGACCTTTTGGGGCCACTGTATTAAAAAAAAATTTTGAAGTACCAGATTCTTAAAAGCAAAACTAGGTATTTGAGGACAATGGTAAAATGTCTTCATAAGTCTGAGGGATAATGAATTCCAAACTAGAATGTCATGCAACTTAAATCAACTCTAAAAATACACACAAAAAAAACATGTCTGAAGTCAAGGTCTTCAAAAGTTTATATCCTACACATGCTACTGGAGGATGTGTTCTATTTCTTGTCCAGAAAAACAGAGGTGCTGACCTCCGAAAGTCAAAGGCTCAAGCTAAGAATGAAACGATGATTCACAGCAGTAGATCAAATGCAAACAGGAATAGCCAAGACAGGCCAGGAGGCTGATAACCAATGGTGGCCAACAGTGCACAGAGGGTGATCATACATTCTGCCTGTTTCTCTCTGTCCACCAATACTTCCATAATGAAGCCTAAAGGTGCGTTGGGATTGGTCAGCAGATGGTGCCAGGACAATGGGACATCCAAGTAGGAAAGAAGGAATCTGGATCCATAACTCAAATCATACAAAAATTAATTCACTGGATCATGGATCTAAATTCTGACCCTGGCTGGGCATTGTGGTGCATGCCTATAATCTCAGCACTTGGGAGGCTATGGCAGGAGAATAACCATGAATCTGAGGCTAGCCTAAGACTGTCTCTAGAAAACCTGAAGAAGGGCCAGAGATGTAGCTCAACGGCACAAGTGCCTGCCTGGCAAGCACCAAGGTCCCGAGTTTAATTCCTTGTACTACCAAAACCAAAACAAAATAAAAACCCTGGGGGGAGGGAAAAGCCTAACACTGAATTTTCAGAACGAAACTCAGAATAGAAGTGACCCTGGGCTTAATCTCCAATACTGGAAAAGAAAATCAAGTCAAAATACAAACTAAAGATTGTAAGAAAATATGTGCAAATCATATACCCAAGAGACCTGAATCTCAAACATATCAGTAAGTCTTACAACTCCTGGCTACCACTGATGGAAAGCTTGAAGGACTTTAAACACAAAGCTAAGACCACCTCAAAATACCTGGCAAATTCTGAATATGTACAGGGTAGGATGTAGGGTGTTAGGTTTTAAGGGAGAACAGAAATTTCTGCAACCTGGCTCTACAGTTAAGACTGCCAAGCTCTCAATCCAAAGGACTAGAAAAATCACAGCAGCAGAGGTGGGGTACTCTAGGAGGAGAACAAGGCTGACCAAAGTTCCCAGATATAGCTCAGTTATCCCCCTCCTCCATGCTCTTAACATCACAAAGGACAGTGCAACTGCATATACTGACTGCTATCCCTTCACCTGGAGCACCAATATTTTGGTATACACCTAGAAAGATCAACCAAAAACAGAGACACCAGAAAGCACAAACACTGGATTTAGCAAAAAGGAACTTAAGGATGATTGCCATGTGGTGTTTAGATAAAAAGATTCTTTTTGTCAGCAGAGATGCATAATCTATTTAAAAACAATACATACCTGAAATTTAAAACTCAATGATCAGGTAACAAAAATTATCCAAACTATAGCAAACAAAGAAAAAAATACCAACATTTTATTCTATCCCCACTAAAATATCCCCCAAAATAAAGGTGAAGTTAAGACTTTTTTGGGGGGGCTTTGACACAGAGTTTTGCCATGGAGTTCAGGCTGGCCTTGAGCTCTCTTCATAGCCTAGGCTGGCCTCAAACTCAGTGATCCTCCTGCTCCAGTCTCAAATGCTGGAACCATAGGTGTGTGCCACCATGTCTGGTTGAAGTCAAGATCTTTAAGAGAAAATTCTTGCTGAGTTTCTACCACTGAATGCTCCTCTTAAACAGTTTAGTTTTTCCTGAAATGGGAAAAGTCAATGCCAGCAGCGTGCTAAACATTCTAAAGCCAATACCCAGATAAAGAGGAAAAACCCTATTCTACGCAATGAAGTTTCAGTGGAATGAAGAAAAGAATTGAGGAGTATAAGGCAGGGAA